AGGAGGAATCCTGAACTATGGAGATTCAAGAAACTTGAGGAGAGAATTAATCTTTTTTTAAATGTTTTAAATTTTTTTGAACTGCAATTTCTACTGCTAGGTAAAAACAAGACCGGCAGTTTTGTGAGAACTTTCTTATTTTTTGCTGCATTTGCTTTCATTTCAGTGTACCCCAGAAAGGTAGATGGCAAAAGTCATGGTCTCTATGTGATTACAGTTCTGGAAATGAGTTTCCTTAAACCACTGAAACCTTGGAGTCAGCACTGCCTTTGGGGATCTGCAGCATATGGGGCATCATGTACTATTTTCCCTGCAGGGGTCAGAAACACCTGTGTCTAGGAAATGTGCCAAGGAAGCAAAGAAGCTTATTTCAACTGAGGGAAACTTTGGGAATGCAGATCTGGCAGAGCTGGCTTTAAACTTGCACACAGTGGTAAGGGTAAATGTGTGTGTCTGAATGCAGCCGTACATGAGCGCGCTTCAGAAACTAAATAAAGTCATATTAAGGAATTAAGCCTGTGCTTTATTACAGCCAATTTGTAACATGCAAAGTCATTGTTACTTCCCTGTCCTTGACAGCGTGTGGCAAAGTCATTCTGCCACCAAGCACTGACAATTTAATCCTGTGATAATACAGAAAGGGTATTTGCCACTGTTTTAAGCAGTAGCTTTGCTTCCAGTAAAGAGCTTTTCCAGCTGAGCCCATATTCTGAGGGTAGCAGCCTGCTTTCCCAGTTTCACGGATGCATTGCTTGGAGGCAGGAGGTATGGGTTTCTTTATGCGTTGTGTGATTTCTGAAGCCTTGTAGCACTCTCTTGCCCTGCTCGTAGCACAGGCAACTGCATTTGTTTGTTGTTTTTTTTCCTCCCAAAAGCTGCTAATTGCTAGCTATGGCAAAATGGTGATAAATAATCCTGAATGAATAATGGAGTGAGCAAACAAAGCAGCAGAATCTGTTTAATGAAGCACTCTTTCACTTTTGGTACAGCCTGGCCACTTCATAACATCCCCTCCCCAGTGACATGCTTTGCAGAGCGCTAATTAATGGCTGAGGTCTCAGCTCCGTGCTTGGTGCCACAACCTGGAGTATGTTGTAATCACTCTGTTGCACACACAGCTGCATGTGTGTGCTTGCACGCGCAGCAGAGAGGAGGCAGCTCATTAACACAGCATCAGCTGACAGTGGCACCACAAGAGAAATCCAGTGTTGCTTTTTTTCCCCTGATCTGACCTCAGCAGCTGTGTTGGTGCAGGATGTAAATGGTTACAGAGCAGTTGGCTTGTATATAGGATTGTGGACAGGACTGGGATGGAAAGAAGTGGGAAAACATTAGAAAGACCTGTTGGAGCATTTTAGGCTGACTGCTGCAGAGTATAAAAGAAACTCCTTCAACACAAGCTAGCAGCAGAGCTGAGATAGATGCACATCTGTAAGTCACTGTAAGTAAAGAAGTCCCACATCTTACCCTTTCTCTATCCAATTTCTTTTTAACCTTCACCAGTCCCAAAACAGGATCAACTGAAAATTCATTGTCTTGATCCCCATCCACTATGGAAAAATGAATCTGGCCATTGGGAGGACTGTCCAGATCTTCTGCTATGAGCTTTTTTGAGAGAAGAGTAAAAATTAGCAAAACAAATATTGAGTGATCTGTATGATACATTCATTGCTCAACACTCCAAAAAGTAAAACTTCATATTCCATCATACTAGTTACAACTGAACTGCACACCTCCACAGCATCAAGAGAAATGTTTTTTTGACAGGAGGCTCCCCTTGAAACTTTACAAAATTCTACCCTTAAAAACATATAGAATCTTTAAATCTTAATATTCCATATGACACTTTCTGAATCCAGAGATTCCAAGATGAGAGGACTGGGAGATTTGGGTATGGCACACTGCATGCCAGACTACACAAATACTATGTATTTGCAGCTCTGAGCAACCTGGTGTAGTGACAGGTGTCCCTGCCTGCAGCAGGGCAGTTGGAACTAGATGATCTTTAAGGTCCCTTCCACTCAGGCCATTTTAAGGTTCTATGATTGTATTTCACTGAAAAGTTGAATTCTGCCTTTCCAATAAAACCCATTTGTTTCCAGCTGACTCATGAAATGCAATGCCTTAAATATGCCATTGGTCTTTGACAGTATATGGGATTAAAAAGAAATAGTACTACTACTACTTTCTTTTGAGGAGAATGTGGCAGCAGCCTGGAAAGCAGCAGTAGATGCAGAGTATTGGCTAGAGAACAGTTTGGGTGATGCAAGACGTGGTAATTATTATCAACCAATGCAGCAGTATTTTATGTGGCATGTGGGCTTCAGCCCACCTAAACGCCCCCCACGGCCTCACTCACCATTATCACCGAATCCCCAACGGCCGCGTCCTCACTGATGACTGCACTGTAGACCGCCTGGCTGAATTTCGGTGCGTTGTCATTGACATCTGTCACGTTTACATTTACGGTTGTAACGGCGCTCAGGGCTGGAGTGCCTCCATCTTTTGCTTCTACTACTAAGTAGAAATCCTTACACGATTCAAAATCCAAAGCTTCAAAAATGGAAATGACTCCTTTGAAGCAAAGGAGGGAATGTCAACAGCCAGCAAAATAAACCAAATAAAGCCATGTAATAAGGGATTTGACTGCAGTAAAGAGTACAGCATGCTATTTATCACCATGGCACACATACAACATTAACTGTGAGACTGCCCAATCCAATAAAAATGTTTATTCAGGTTTATACTGCTGTCATTTGATTAAAGAATGATGCCAATTGCACTTGGGTTGCCTCTGCAGAAAGGACCTTTACAAGGCATGAAGCAATGAATGGTTCCTCGTGAAAACAGCTTTAATTATAGGAGTATCATAGATGAAGAAGTGGGGGCCATAGCCACCCTTTTGCTTGGGCTCATGCACAGAGCCTGTGGGAGAACAGGATGTCTACTCTGGAAATCAGCCCTGACAAGTCAACCCAAATTCACTCCCACATAATTAACTTCTCACGAATTAAATACAAATGAATGGGGTATGAATACCTTTGAGAAATCAATTGTCTATCATTTATGTGATTAAACAGGGACTTCCCCACTCAACTAGGTTTATAAATTTTGGGTTACTTCATCACATAACCAAAATTCATAATCTATGTAACATGATTAACTCCATGCACCCTGACCCCCTATAGGATAGAAATTATTTTTATAGAAGCTCTCCACTTGTATCCCATGTACCCTTAACCTTAACAAGGAGGAGGAAGTAGGCTGTGCACGGATTACTAGTGATGCCTCGAAGGAGGCAATACCAGGCATGGCAGGAAAGCCTTACAAGCGAATCCTGAACCTTGGCAAGCCAAATCCTTTTCAATATAGACCCATCAGGAGCAGGGATGTGTGAGGCTTAAAGGTCATTTAGTCCAACTGCTGCCCAACACAGGTCAGCTAAACCTGATCATTCTTGAACTAATCTTATAAACCCCCATCAACATCAGTTTCCTAACCTTCTTAGGAAATGTATTTCAGTACTTAATAATCATTACAGTCAGGAATTTCTCCCTATCATTTAACTGAAATAATCCAAATGCAATTTAAGCCTATTCACTACTTCTTTTCTCATGACTAGACATGGAGAATAGTTTATTCCCCTCCTCCTCAAAGGTACTTTTTACAGGCCTGAATACTAACAGCATGTCTTCTCTTTTCTTGCTTAAAGAGCCTCAATTCCTTCAGTCTTTCCTGATAAGTCGCATTTTACAGATCTCAGATCATTCCTCTTAATCTTGTCTAGGCTCTCTCCAAATGAATTCTACCTTTCAGCATGACTTGCTCAAAGCAGGAGCCCTGAAGAGAAGCTTCCAAGTGGCTAGCAGAGAGTTCCCACTGATAAATTGTGTGAAGGACATTATTTTTCAAGCTCTGATCAGGCATGCTACATCACCACTCGACTGCCTAGAAACTGAGCTCCTGCCTCTAAACTGATAATAATGGAGCTGTCAGTCACACATTAATGAATAATATATAGTTTTACTTTGGGTTTTTTTTTTTGCTGTGTGATTAAGCTTCATTATGGGGTTTTATTGATTTATTTCCTTGGCTTCATTGTCAAATGTGAAGTTAAGTATCGCTGTCTAGGCATATTTATGCTTAAATTTTGTTAGCACTGATCAACATTACGAAGATGACAGACAACAGAGTTATGTTAAGTCCTTTACATGTAAGGCAGCGGTCTCCACAGAGTGGAGAGTGATTTTTGCACACAGTAATATAAATGACACAGTACATAATTTTGAGATTTTCCAGGTTGCTGGTTATTACAGCTGCACTCAAACAAGTGTTACCGTCAGTTTTCAAAATTGAGATTGCTTTGCTCTGAAACTCTGGTGGCAAATTTGTATGGGTCATCTTGAGTGTTATGAGAATAAGGGGATCCACTACAGGAAGCATAGTAGAATCATAGCTTACTGCTGACAGATTAAAACCTCAGTAAGGATAAAGAATATATCCCCCTAAGGAAATTCAAAGAAAATGAGCCATTTGCACCAAATAGGATAGCTTTTCTTGATGCTTCTTAAAGAGAAGCAGTAGTGTACTTTTAAAATTTGTGATGTATAACCAAAAAGACCACAACCCAAATCACGGCTCAAGTCAACTGTCAGAAAAGACAAATCAGAGCAACAGAAGTCAGGGAAGTGGCACACAGTTACATAAACAGCAATCACATGTTAGACTCAACACCTATTTGGTCCTTGTAGCGCTGTTTGATGATTTCTAAGGTGCAGACAGTTGAGGCTGTACTCGTCTGGTAAGCAAGCAGGTAAACATCGCAAGTGTTCAGAACTGTAAGGGTTGCACAGTTTGCCTAATGGGCTGTCACATCTACATTGGCTTCAACACACATATTAATGGAGAAAAGTATTCTCCACTTGAGCTGGGGCAGCGAAGTGTGACTGTAATTGACATCACTCTCCAACCTAAAATTGGTTTTTAACTGTGTAGCTAATTCCACATTGACAAGCTGTGAATGTCTGGCCTTGGAAAATTTTTGGTCCAGGAGTCTTCCACAAAGCATTCATGTTTTTCTGATGTTTTAATTTAGCATTACAAGGAAGATCTACTTTACAAACCTGTTTTTGAATTAATCCTGAACTTCCCTTTCTCATTCCCCGATCTGATGAGATAGGCAATCTCAGCATTAGTACCAATGTCTTGGCTTGTAGCAAAAACAGAAAGGACCTCAGTGCCAGGTGAAGTATCTTCAGGTACTGTAACAAGATAGTCTCTTCTTTCAAACACAGGGGGATTGTCATTAATGTCCAGCACTGTAATGGTGACAGTGGCAAATGAGGACAAGGTCAGCACAATGCTCTGATCTGAGGCCTTTACAGTGATGTTATAGGAAGACTGAAGCTCTCTATCAAGCGGATGCTCCAAAATAATGATTCCTGATGACTGATCAACTGAGAAGTAACCATCTGCAGAGTCTGACAGGGAATAGGTGACTTTTCTGTTCACGCCTGAAAGAGAAGCACATTGGAAAATGATAAAGTGAAATAAAGAAAACAAAAACCTCTTCCCATCTAACAGAAACCCTAAGCAAAATTTGGTATCACAGTGACCATTTCCAATGGGAGTGGAGGCAGGAGTGCCTCTGGGCATGGTAATCCAGAAAGTTTGGGAGATCAGGACATGCTCTTCTCACATGACAAATCCCCATGGATAAGTTAAATTCCCTCATCATGATAACTTTTTTAAAAGATCACTTTGCAGAACTGCTGTGTAATGAAACTTGAAAGCTGAATCCAGATATGGTTCCTGCCCAGAAGAGCTTACAATTGAATTAGATGAGACAGGCAGAATGCTGAAATTGGAAATGTCTCAGAGCACATCTTGAAGGAATAGAAATGTACATAAGGGAAAAATAAACCCATAAAAATGCATCAGGTGGCACAAAATGTACTTGCTACCAGTGCTGCCTTGATTCCACTGCTGCGCAGCAAAATATTATCATAAGACGATACCTGTTAGACAAAAGCTGCATCAAAAATCTCCTGCCAGAATATGAACATTTTAGAAAGGCAAGTCCCTCAGTCCCTCAACTTGAGAGCAAAAATTGAGTTGTATGAGATATCCTGTGTTTTTCAAATCCTGCCTGTATTTCCCAATACATAGCACCTATCCACCCAGCTGCTGAATATGCAGATCTATGCTAAGGTTGTTGTCAGTAATAAGGCCTGAGGGGATGGTACAGACTTGGTTGCTGCACTACAGTGGGATAGCCATTTCAAATCTAATTAAAAGTGAACACAGATATAAGCTAATTCAACTCCCTTGATGCTAGTTGATTTTGTGATTCAGTCCTGGGTGCTTCAGTAAGAGATTGTAACTAAAACACAAAGATCCACTAAAATGGAGAGTCTGTTTTTAACATCTCTCACTTGAGCATTTGCTGCCATTTTTGTTGGAGAGCAGACTTTACAAGCCTGACATTAATCAGATGAACAAGAGCTACCAATCCCTTCTAGGCATATTTTGTTAATTTAAAATTTGTGGCAGTATTATTCTGCTTTCCAGCAGCAAGCTTTGTAGAAATGTCTGATCAAAAGCAGCACAAATCACAGTTGTTTTCTGCTTGACATAGCAGGAGTTGAGCATCCACACAAGGGGGAGCTGGGAGACTCTGTCTTCAATCACACGCACATAAAAGCTAGAGGAACTACAAAGTCCCAGACCACACTTGAAGGGTGTTAGGAATTACTATTTGGCCTCTTCAGAGAATAAAGATTTTATGCAGTGCTTGAGACACCAGAGTATATTTCAAACATTCTAATGTCATTAAAATAAGGAACAAATTATATAGCAACATTGCAGTGAATCAGGTTGTAGTTTTGTTTTTTGCTTTTTGCTTTTTTTTAATCACAGCAGAACCTCTCTATTCACCATGGCATGTGAAATTTGAAAAATACAGTCTCCCCTTCTGCGAAACATCAAGGCATCCAAGGATGTCACTCCTGTCCTACGGATAAGGAACTGAACTCAGCCCATGAACTTGTTGGAGGCTCCTTCATGTGTTCGAACACCTAAACTCTGAACACTTTACAGCTGCTGGAGAGCATACTCACTTCTTCCCTCAGCCTCTTGATAGATGAATTCAAATACTCTGTCAGCTGACAATCACCCAAAGTGACAAATGTGAAAAAGGAGTAAAATCCTCTGGGAAGGGGAAGGGTTCAGGGTCTGAATGGCTGCAGGTGTGTCTATGTTTCCAGTTGGGGAGGAGCTCCTTCTGCTAGAAATCCTCCATGAACTTCCACTTAGAAAAAGAGACAGACCCGACTAGAACAGTTAAGGAGTTAGTAGTTACAGCTGATCCTTGAGGATGCTGGAAAATGGAACTTTTTCACCCTGATTCAGAGCATGCAGTTGAACACCCAACCTACACAATAGTTTTAACTGTAAAGCTATTTAGTATTCTGTACCGTCTGCTCTTGATGTCTGCCAGTTTCTACAAAGTATTGAACACTTCTCTGAAGCAGGGACCTTACGATGCACCTTTTACACATATATGTCTGTGACTGAAGAGAGCCTTAGTCTGGTTTGCGTTTTTCTTTGGCACAGAAGAGTATCTATTTGATACTCACTACAGCATATGTAGGCACAAGACAGAAGAAAAATGATTTAGATATCACAGTCTTTAAGGGAATAAATAGCAAGAAAGGAGATAACCTACCAATAACCTGTGTCTTGAAACACCCCAAAACTTCAGAAAGGATATCTTGCAAGGGGGAGTGGGGAGAGACAGAATTTGGTGCATGCGACACCACATGGAGTGAGTTTATGTACAGGATGTGCTAACTCCAGTGACTGCAATTTGATACATAATCCAATCCCTTTCCTTGTATTCTGCTTCCTAAAACTGATGTCCATTCATTAACAAAATATGAGTAATGTTTTTTATAAGTGATTACTAGTGATCCTACAATCATATACAGACTATGGTGTTCTGGTTGCTAACTCTAATACACTCAGCTTCCTGACCCAAGGCTGGAAAAAAACAGCATGAGGCAAAAGTGAAGTAGGAAGTTATTTCTACTGAAATCAAAAATGCTTTAATCCAGGGGCTACCCTCTGCTGAGAAAGGAGTCCACCAGTGTGTGTCAATGGCATCACTGCCATGGAGGTGACATTCTGCTGTGACTATAAAGGAGATGCTTTCTGTTGAAAGGAAACAACTGCTTCAACCCATGGTTCCTGCACTGGTAAGGAGAGCAACCCTCCCACACTGCTTGCCCACAGCTGTTGGGGGATTAATGTTTGCAAACTGTGTTGTGTCAACTCACTTACTCACTTGAACTTCTCATATTTTTAAGGTGCCAATCATTAACATAAGCTATTTGAACACAGAAAGCCTTTGCAAGAACCACTATTACTATAAGAGGATTGCAGTACATACTTTGTAAATAAAGGAATAAGCAAGCACATTTTCTATTTAGATTTGTATTAGCATATGATAGAATATTGCCTTTTGCCAAATCTCTGGTGTGAAGAGCTTGTAAAACATACAGCTGTCTAATACCTCAAATGCCATCCTTTGAACATTTTTTTCTTAGTTTCTCCTGTACTAAAATAAAGGGACATGCACTGAATGTCACATCATGACAACTCTTATGTCATTGCTAATTTAAATAGCATCAGGGATATAAAATAACTATCTTCATAATTCAGGGATGTCAATATCCTCCTTGTCTAAAGCACAGAACCAGAATCATTCAGGTTGGAAAGCACCTTCGAGATCATCAAGTCCTACTGTTAATCCAGCACTACCAAGTCCACCACTCAACCATGACCCTAAGTGCCACATCTACAAGTCTTTTAAATACTTCCTCAGGTGCTGACTCAACCAATTCCCTGGCCAGTCTGTTCCAAGGCTTAACAATCCATTCTGATGAGAAATTTTTCCTACTCTCCAGTCTAAACTTCCCCTGGCACAACTTGAGGCCATTTCCTATTGTCCTATTGCTTGTTACTTGAGAAAAGAGACTGACCTCCAACTCACTACAAATTCCCTTTAGGTAGCTGTACAGAATGAGAAGGTCCCCTCTGAGTCTTGCTTTCTCTAGACTCAACAACCCCAGCTTCCTCAGCTGCTCCTCATAAGATTTGTGCTCCAGACCCATTTCCAACTCTGTTGCTCTTCTCTACACACACTCCAGCACCTCAGTGTCTTTCTTGTAGTGAATGGCCCAAAACTGAACTCTGTTTTCACCTGTCACCCTGAATTCATTATTTAATGTGTTTTCCCAAGTATAGCTAGGCCACTCATTCTTGTTTATCTCTGAAAAATTATGATTAACTTTGTCATCTGCTCATTTTCATTTTGAAAACCTAATGAAAGAAAAATAATAGCAAGTATTAATAATAGAAAAACAAGAAATAAACCAGAAAGTTGTCCATAAAGAGAGGTGTAAAAAATTTATTTATCAATTTAGCAGTGGTTTGCAGGCTTGGTATCTGATCACTGTGCTTCCTCTCTTGCCTCTGTCTTTCATGGTAAGATGATTAACACTGATGTGTACCTATGGCCTTTCCTGGTTACCCAAATGTTAACCACAAGGCCAATTATTGGAAGATAAAAGTCCACAACTTCATTAACGGCAAACAAGACAAAAGATGAATTCTAAATCAGATTTTATAGTACTCTACTCCATCATTTTGAGACGAAAGAAAAACCTTGCCAGAAGTACCTTGCTGAACTGTAGAAGAATATACTGCCCCATAGGAACATGTGATTTTTACAACTTAAGCAGAAAAGCTGGCCAAGTTCAATCCATAACACTGCTACTGAGATAGGTTTTCACCACTTTGTCCCTTTTCTGTGGGGAAATGATAGCCTTAACACCAAAGGCCTTTACTCACACCAGTGCTCCAGTAGAGTCACGGCACCACTGGATAAAGACAGGGCCTCAGTGGACAGACATGAAGAAAAGCAACCCTTTACTGAAGAGAAATACTGGACAGAAATGGAAGGCATAAGCAATTAGTGGTATGATATAATCCATGGATGTGCAAAACCCTGCTTTCCATTTCAGCTGTGTCAGGTGTTGTATTTTTTGGTGGGAAGTTGAGATTTGGATGGTTGGCTCACCCTCTATCTCTTTTCTATAAGATATTTACATATCCCTGGATACTGACTTACATGACTTGAATTCTTGTTTCCATGGGTGCTCCTGAGTGATTCACTTCCTTGTGCCTATCAGGCATAAGTTTTATTATTTTTCTGAAGTGGGGAAGGCTAGTTTGAATACACCTGATTTAGAGTTAGACATTACAGCTGACAACATAGGGAAACACAGCCTGAAGCAGTGGAATTCACATGTACGGAGAGAGATATAAAAACATATATACATGTATGTAAGGATGCATAGAATCATTAAGGTTTGAAAAGACCTACAAGAACATCAAGTCCAACTGTTAACCCAGCTCCACTGTGTTCACCACTAAACCATGTCTCCAAGTG